TGTGCATCTTACTATTAGTTTTTAATTAGAAACATCACCATTCCAGGGATAATCCAGATGACCCAGAACCTTCTACAAGTGGAGTTTTTATTGTCATTGACAAAATGCCAACACTGTCTAACTCTTTTTCATTGTCAGAGTAAATTTTTATGATTTGTTTTTTAATATATGCATTTATGTATATATTAAAATATCTGTAAATTTATATGTAATGTTTCTAACTCCCAAAGACAAACATCAGATTTATAAAGATACTTATAATAAAAGGCAATAATAATGAAAACAGAAACAAACAAATCAAAAGGTATTCAACTTAAAGCAAAACAGACTTATGACAGAATTGTCAGAACAAAACCTTGTTGTAAATCAGGGACTAGCTGTCTACAAAAATGAGGGCATTCTAAGTCTGTGATCTTAAGGCAAATTACTCTTTGAGCTTTAGTTTCTTCATCTGTACAACAGAAATGATAATGCTTTGTGTACTTCACAGAAGCATTTTGAGTGTGAAAAGAAATAATTGTATGTGAAAAAGCTTTGTGACCTCCAAGTCAAATCGTATGTATTTTGTTATGCATAAAACCAGCTTATACCTACCACTACTATCAGGAATAGCATGAAGAATTCCTGACGTGTGTACACTAGACTCATCTGCTCCTTTAAAACCAGTTCCTCATCCAGATGTTCAGGATTATACTGATGGCACTCCATTCTACCAGACTCATGCAAGCTTAGAAACTTGGGTTGTAGTAGAAACTTTGCTCATCCACCCTTTCTGATCCAAGCACAATCTGTTCCTTTCAAAACATGAAACTGTTAAGTCAACTCTTTGCTTAAGACTCATTGACAATTTCTAATCATTCTTGGGGAAAAGATCAAAACATATTAAGTCATCCCATCGGCTGTGCAGTCTGGCCCTTACCCCACCTCCTCCACCATGCTGCACAGGCTCCCCACCTCCCCTTTGCACTCTAGCCACACTGGCTGCTTTCCAGTCCTCAAAAAAAAAAAAAAGTTGTTCCCTCCAGCTACTTCAGTCATCCTTCAGTTGCTATCTCAAGCTCAGTGTCCCTAGGCAGGCCATCCCAGACTCCCTGGCGTTGCCTAAGCTCTAATGTAATGGGAGTACATAGAAATAGAGTCCTTTTTTTTCTTGGAAAACTTATTACCATTTGAAATTATGTGTTATTTGAAGTTTCTACTCCCCCTAAATCATCAAGTTTAGGAGAAGAGTGATCCTATTTTTATGCCAGTGTTGTAATCTCAATGTCTAGCACATAGTGAGTACTCAAAAATACTGCATGAATGAGTAAATCACTCAGTCTTGGGATCCTCTCCTCCATGTCTATGGTACACATTTTTCAATTAAATAAATTTTATAGGGGAAGAAGAAAGGGAGCTAATCAAATGCCTGACATGTGTGAAGCATTGAAAATAGGCACTTCCTATTTATCTCATTTACTTATCATAAAATCCTACCAAATTATATTAGTTTTGTATGGTGTCTATTTCAAAATCAGTGGCTTAAAGCAACACAAATTTTCTTACATTTCTGTAGGTCAGAGGTCTGATGCAGGTTTTACTGGGCTAAACTTAAAGTGCAATGACAAACAAACAAACAAAAAAAAAAACAAACTCACTGCCGTCAAGTCAATTTGATTCATAGTGACCCCTCCTTGGGTTTCTGAGTCAATATCTCTACAGAAGTAGATTGCCCAGACTTCCTTCCAAGGAGGGCTGGCAGATTGGAACTGCCAGCCTTCTGGTTAGCAGTCAAATGCCTTAGACGCTACGCCACCAAAGCTCCCAAAGTGTAATAAATAATAAATAGAGCTGAATTCCTTTCTGGAGGTTCTAGGAGAGAATCTCTTTCCTTGTCTTTTATAGCTTCTAGAAGCCAACTGGGAGCTCTGGTAGCATAGTGCCTAAGGCACTTGACTGCTAACCAGAAGGCTGGCAGTTCAAATCCACCAGCCACTTCTGGGAAAGAAGGTTGGGCAATCTACTTCTGTAGTGATACTGCCTCGGAAACCCAAGGAGGGGTCACTATGAGTCGGGTCTGACTCGACGGCACATAACAACAGAGGCCAACTGCATTCCTTGGCTTATGTGAGAATCTCTTCCTCCAGTTTCAAAGACAGCAAGGTAACATCTCTCTGATCATGCTACCATAGTCTCTTGTTCTGATTCTGATCTCAGCTGGAAAAGGTCCTCTGCTTTTAAGGGTTCATGCGATTAAACTGGGCCTACCTGGATAATCTGGGATACTCTCCCCATCTTCACATCCTTGACATTAATTATATCTGCAAAGTTCATTTTTTTCCATGAAAAGTAAAGTATTCCGAGGCTTCAGGGTATGTGGATGTCTTTGGGGGTCTTTATTCTGCCTGTCAGATTATTTGTCATTTTTATAAATGAGGAAATACAAAGGTTAAGTATTATAGAACTGGTAGACAGAGGAGGCAGGATTCAAATTATTTCTGGTGTTCTGGAAAGTATATAAGTCTCTCTAACATGATAGTCTCTCCATTTTATATATTTTATAAATAAGATAGCATGATGAAGCATTTCTGAGAAGGTATACTAAGAGTAACAGGTACTGGAGTTTATGAGAATAATATAAACCTATCATTAATTAGATTGTAATTAGACTGTACAAGAGGTAGAAGATGCTCTTCAATTTAAATGCTCTCATCTGCCTCACTGTGCAAGCTGCTGTAAGAGTAACCTCATCGAACATCACAGGAGACCCTGAAAGTATTTGTTCTGAAAACCCTTCCCCCATTTATTTCCACTTTGCTCGTACTTAAATGTTTCCTTCTCTTTCTTTATGACAGCTTAATAGAAATCTAAGGAATGGAACTGTGTCACTCTTACTATGATATTTATGATATGGTAAAAGAGTAATATCTGTGGGGTCTATTTTAATTTCCATTTCACTCTCTAGGCAGTTTAAACCCACCAGCCAGTCCTCAGAAGGAAGGTTGGGCAATCTACTTCCATAGTGATACTGCCCCGGAAACCCAAGGAGGGCTCGCTATGAGTCAGATTCAACTCATAGCTGTTTGGTATTGAAGACGGTAGTTGTAGTTCAAACACACACACACACACAGTATTCATACTTAATACTCTTGAGGAAAATAGTTTCTTGTTTTTCTTCTTCATTTTATGGGAGCTGTTTGGAAGGAGCTTGTTGTTAATCGTGCTGAGAGCAAGGCAGTCTTGGGTGCCTCACTGGCAACATGGAGAAAGTACCCAAGGCTGACCCTGGAATAAAAACCACATTTCAAAATGTTGTAACCCTAAATATTCTGTACCATGAATTTGTACTCCTTTGCAAAACTTCATCACATTACTCTACTTATCCTCATATTCATAATAGAGGACAATAGTTAAGAGAGTGACCTTTGGAGTCCTATAGCCCATTTCCTCACCTGTAAAATAATTACATACAGTCCCTAGTTCATAATGTTGTTGTGAGGATTAAATGAGCACTCACTAGTGTGTTTGGCCACATAGTAACCCTCAATCCATGTTAGTTATTAATATTACCAAGCCCTTGAAGTAAGTATGACAGATGACTATCCCCACCTGACAATGTCAAAGAAGTCAAGAACACATGCAACTACAAATCCTCTGATAATTCCCATTGTAATTAAATTCCTCACAGAAGAGGATATTTCATAATATGTTTTTATTGTATTTCCAAACTACAACCCAAGCAGAAAATTATATTTGAGCTTCATAAATCACCTGAAATGTAAGAGAATTTATACCAATGCTGAGTATAAAATTCCATTGAGTAGGGGAAATAACAGTCTCCATAATCAGAACATAATCTGTGAAGCCAAACAGGCACTGGTGTTTGAAGTTCTCAGTATAGGGCAGAAGACTTAATAGAACATAACCTAAGCCATGACTGTGCCAACAGATGGTATAGAGCAGAGGTCACCAAACTAGGTAAAGTTACACTGGAACACAGCCATGCTCATTTGTTTATGTGTGGATGTGACAGAGATCATATGGCTCACAAAGCCTAAAATATGTACTATTTGGTCCTTTGTGGGAAAAAAAAAAAAAGTTTGACAACTCCTATTATAGAAGATATAGGGTAAAATAATAAATATAGCTTTAAAATGCTAAATTTTATTCCTAGAGTTCTTAGCACATTCAGTCCCAGGAGAAAAGGATGCTTTCTCTTTTTCAAGTAGCAGATGAGCCAAATCTTCCAAAATGAAATGAACAGTGAGACTTTAATGATGGGAGGAACTTTTCCCAGGAAAGCTGACTTAATATGCTGCTGCTTGCCTACATTCATCGCAATGGCCCAAATATCTTTTTCTCCACCAGTGTTATGGACTAAATTGTGTTCCCAAAAAAAGGTTGTTGAAGCCCTAACCCCTGTGCCTGTAAATGTGACCTTATTTGGAAACAGAGTCTTTGCAGATGTAATCAAATTAAGATGAGATCATTCTGAATTAGGGTGGGCTTTAATCAAACGACTAGTGTCATTAGAAGAAATGCTGATGCAGGGGAGAAAGTCATGTGAAGACAGAGGCAGAGACTGGAGTGAACCACCTACAAGCCAAGGAACACCTGAGGCTACTAGAAGCTGGAAGAGGCAAGGAAGGATTTTCCTCTAGAGCCTTTGGAGGAAGCACAGTGCTGCCAACACCCTAATTTTAGACTTTTTAGCATCCAAAAAAAGGAGCCCTGGTGGTGCAGTGGTTAAGTGCTCAGCTGCTAACCAAAAGGTTGGAGGTTTGAACACATCAGCTGCTTCTGATATGGCAATCTGCTTTTGTAAAGATTTACAGCCTTAGAAACCCTATGGGGCAGTTCCACTCTGTCCTATAGGGTCACTATGAGTCAGAATCAGTTTCATGGCAGTGAGGTTTAGTATACAGAACTGTGAGTGAATAAGTATCTGTTGTTGTAAGGCACTGGTTAACTAAGACACTCAGTTATAAAGTTCTGTGCATTTATAGATACAAGAAACTCACTTGAATTTTCTCTTCTTCAGGGGCTGGTGCTGGTCTAGATCCCTGCCCCAATTCCTTCTCCTCTGTCACTTTCTTTGCCATGTGCTGAGTCTTCCAATTATTTGGTGCTTGTAGATCACTGAATTGTGACTTTGTTTTCAAGCTATTGGTGAATTCTTTGGCTTGAGCTTTTCTGAACAGAAAGAAAAATGAAATTATATATATAAAATTCTTCAAAATTTACAGCTTTTCTAAAGCAGATGACTACATTCAAAATACGTGAAAAATAATAGTAGATACCATTTACCAAGTGCTTGTAATATGCCAGCCCCTTTGCTAAACACTCTAAAGACATTCACTTCCTCCTCATAACAACCGTATGAGGAAGGCATTGGTATTTTTAAGAGGCTCAAAAATTACATAATCTAAGTGGCATAATCAGGATTTGTACCCAGGTCTGTCCCACTCTGGACTCAGGTGCTAAACTGTTAGAACAAATTGCCTTCCTATGATCAGAGTCAGTAAATAATTCCTTTATATCTCTTGGCCCATGTACAGAAGTTTTTAAGTACAGAAGCTGGTGGGTAGCATCACCAGCCCTCAGGAACTGAGCTGAGGGCTGCATGTCTCTTCCAGTTTCCACCCCAGCACAGACTACTAGCTCAGAGTAAGGCTGTCAGCACCATGGAGCAAAGCTAGAGGAGGATACCCAAGAGAGAGCAGACTTTGCAGAGGCCACCATGGGCACCCAGCAGAAGTAATCCATCATCTGCCTTGAGTTACTTTCCTATATCTCCAATTGATTATGTCACTTGACTATTCACAATCTTCCTTACTGTCTAAAGAGTAAGGTCCAAACACCTAAATCTGGCTTATAAGGCATCTCACAATATCTCTTGTCTCTCTCTGCTCTCTCATGCATGCCCCAAACACTCAGAAAAACTCATCATTCCTCAACCCTGCATGTACAAGTCTAGAGATTTTGATGATGTTATGCCCTCTGCCTTCAATTTACTTCCCGACCTCCTGTACTTGGAAAACTGTACTTCTCTTCAAAGTTTGGCCCAAATTTCACTCATGCATCAGAATGTTTTGTTCCTACCTGTTCTCAGCCAATGCTTAATAATAGCACTTATCACAGCCTGCATGGCTGCAGTTAGTTGTGTGTCTGCTTGTCTCTCCTCCCGGCCCATAAGCTCCCTGTGCATCTTTGAACTCCCAGTGGGCTGGTGGTGGTTGTTAGTTGCTGTCAAGGCAATTCCAACTCCTGGTGATCCCATGTGTGTCAGAGCAGGAATGCACTCCGAAGGGTTTTCAGTGGCTGATTTTTTAGAGGTAGATCTCTAGGCCTTTCTTCCAAGGCACCTCTGAGTGGAATCGAATCACCAAGCAAAGGGCCTTGATGTTCTTTTCCCCATATCTACCAAACCTTCTGTGAAGACCTGAAGCTTGAACACTTGCTGCATTTTAACAGTTTTGACTTCTATTCCTCATACTCAACTGTGCTGCCCTGTATTGCTCTAACAGGATTCTAGTGAAGCTAATGGTGACCACTGGGGAAGTTTTATACTCATCTAGATCAAAAGTGGAATGAAACTGGGAATATGAAACAGCTGATTTGATAGCATTGTCGGAATGAAGGGAATCACCAACTGCATAAGAAATTTTCTAAATATATCAAAACACATGTTTGTGACTTTAGATCCCACCTCAATCCCTCACCAACCAGATACCATGCACAAGAACCATCTTTCCTTTCCTTTTTTTTTTTTTTTTAAAGTCTTTCATTAGTTTGCAAGTCTCATACCTGAGCTCTTCTTCTTCCTGCTCTGTTTTCAGCTGGGCCCTCTCAGCAATAATTTCATCACAGAGCTTATCATAGGGTTTATCTAGATGGTGTTCACCCATCACCCAGACCCAGACTTCCTTATCGGCTCCCAGTTTCCAATGAACAGATTTGCCATTCTCTGCAAACAAAACAAATCTCAGATTGAACTGAATCTTTAGCCATGTGTTACCATGCTTCTCATCACTAAAGAATTTCTTTGGGGGGGGGGGCGGAAATGAGGCAAAACATTTCATCATTTGTTTCACTTCCAACCTACTCAAGAGCAAGCAGCATTAATAGGTGGCAATGGTAGTGGCAGCAGTGGGCAGTGGCTACAGTAGTAATATTTGTTATTAAAATATGATGGATTTGGGTCATGCCCATTTGGTGAATGAAGAAGCTGAGATAGGAAGAAAGCATGCATTGTTTGCATTGTCCTTTGGAGTAACAGAGCTGATATCAGATCCCACAACCACTGAAATCTAAGAATCTCCCTATAACCCAGAGTTCCATAGCCGCTCGAGAGTGTAGTCTTTCTACTGTCTTTGTAAGCTTCACTGGGAGGTTAAAGCATGCTCTTTAGAGTTAGAATGGCCACAATTCAAATCCTACTTCTGCCACTTACTAGCTGTGTGACTTACACAAATTACACCTCTAAGCCTCAATTTCCTCATCTGAAAAATGGATAATAATAATATCTACACTATAGGACTAAGGAGCCATGGTGGCACAAACGGTTAAGTGCTTGGCTGCTAACAGAAAGTTAGCAGTTGGTGGCTCCACCAGAGAAAGAACTGGTGTTTTATGGAAGCAGATTGCTTTCTAACCTTTCTGTTAGCAGCCATAAAGATTACAGCCAATACCAATGCCAACCACTCAGGAAAGGATCAAATCTGGAGATCCAGGATAGAGTGGGAGGGAAAACGTGGAACAAAATCCAAAAACTCAAAAATGACCAGAATTACTGGTCAGATGAAATCTGATGAGATCCCCAATACTATGGCCCTGGATTACATTCTGCACCTGGAATAAAATGCACCCCCAGGGGCGGGCTCTCAGCCCAATAGTTAACAAGATGTACAGCAGACCACTTAACCAAGGATGACGCACCCACATACTCTATGGTAATACATCCCTTAGAGCAATAGACCAGGAGACACCATAGGACCAACATTCAAACTGAGGAAATGCAGGACAAATAGGAGTGCAAAATTTGAAGGGCACAGGGGGAGGGTTACACAGTAGGGAGGGGAGGAGACTGGGTTAGGGTTGGACATGGTAAACATGGAATGAAACTAAATGTACACTTAACGTTAGGAATGTAAAACAAGCTCTTAAAATAAAAAACAAAAAAAAGATTACAGCCAAGAAACCCTATAGGGCAATTCTACTCTGTCACATGGGGTCCTTAAGGCACCTAGCAACAATGTATAGAGCTGCTATGAAGAGTAAGCAGACAGGTATGCCAAGTACTTCACCCAAGCCTGCCACGTAATGAGTTCAACAGAGGTTAACTGCTACCATCATTATCCTATTATTTACTTATATGGGTGCTTCAGAGATTCACACCAGCTTGTGAGAAGATAATACTGCCCGGGGTAGTGTGATACTTGGTGAAGCTACTTAAATAACCCTTATTTAAATTGGTCTGTGGGTTGTATTACACTCAGTTCCCATGCTCCCTACATGCAGCCATAGAGGTCATGCTCCTTGAAACTTAGGAGAGGGCAGGAGGGGAAGTCCCTAAATCTAAAGGTCGCCAGGTCCCAGAGTAGATCTATGCAGGGCCTTTATGGTTCAAAGTCAGTTCTAACCACGATCCCTGGGGCAAGACTTGTGGCCTCCAAACTAGCCAGTGGTGTTGAGTGTGAGACAGGGGACATGAGGCTGGAACATATGGTGGGCCAGGGAGGACACATGCTTTAAAGATTAGTCATCCACACTGGCTTCTGTCTCCTCACACCAAATAGAAGGTTTCCAATCAAAGTGTCTTCTGTCTTAGGTGTTGTTGGTCTACGTCACATAATTGCCTTGGGATACATGGGGAAAAAAAAAAAAGCAGGCTGCTCAAAGGGAGAGTTGTTCTTTATTTTGGCACTTTATACCCTTCTCACTGCAATAGATACTTTCTGCAGGATGATAAACTTCTAAGTAGAGATACTCAGGAAAGAAAAGAAAAGCAGAATTATAGTCTTCACTATGAAAAGAGTCAAATGTATCATTCAGAAAGAAACTGATTGGATCTTATTTTCACAAGTGGAGAAACAGCAAAAGCCGCCAGAAATTACTAAGGGAAGAGAGAGTCTAAGTGTGGCCTAGCAGAGGTAGTACTTAGTGCCAGCCCTGGCGAGTTCTGCTCTGTTTGAGGAAATGCCAAATGGTTCATTAACCTTAAAAAGATGTCATACCTCATAAAACTCCCTTTATTATACTCTCTCAGGGCAATTAATAATACTTTATTATGTCCATCTCTCAACTTTCATCTAAGGAAATCTTTGCCATTATTTTTCTTTCAGCAGCAGAGGAAGACACCCAGAGAGGGTAATGGCAGAGTGCCAGGGGAGGGACAGAGGAAGAACAAAGAGATTCCCAGCAGCTCAGCTCAGTACAGCACTAGATATTCTCCCCTAAAACAGCAGTACTGAAGGCTGCCAGCAGACAGGTGATACCTCTCAGGGTAGAAGGCACTGCTTTGGGGTAGAAGACAGAAATTTCAGAATTGCATGTAATTAGGGGTGTGTGCTTAGGAACACTGAAAGCCAATGTTAAGGACTAAACCAAACTCAAACCCACTCCCATCAAGTTGATTCTGATTCAGTGACCCTACAGGACAGAAAAGAACTTCCCCATAGGGTTTCTAAGGCAGAAAATCTTTACAAAAGTGGACTGACTCCTTTTTCTCTCAGGGAGTGGTAGATGGGTTCAAACTGCCAACCTTTTGGTTAGCAGCCCAATGCTTTAACCACAGCACCCCTAGAGCTCTTTAAGGAGAAGACTGTTGTTATATGCCATCAAGTTGGACCCGAATCAGAGTCTAGAAAATGGAGATCTAATGGCAAAACAGTTAAGTGATCAACTGCTAACAGAAAGGCTGGTAGTTCGAACCCACCTAGTGGCTACAAAGGAGAGGGACCTGGAGATCTGCTCCCATAAAGATTGTTGCTGTTGTTGTCAGGTGCCCTCAAGTCAGCTCCAACTCATGGAGACCCTATGTACAACAGAAAGGAACACTGTGCGGTCCTCACAATCATTGCCACATTTGAGCCTGTTGTAGAAGGATTGTTGTCACTCCATCTCATTGAGGATCTTCTTCTTTTTTGCTCTCTACCAACCACGATGTCCTTCTCCAAGAACTGGTCCTTTTTGATAACGTCTCCAAAGTATATGACATAAAGTCTTGCCATCTGTGCTCCCAAGTAGCATTCTGGCTATACTTATTCCAACACAGATTAGTTTGCTTTTCTAGCAGTCCATGGTATATTTAATATTCTTCATGGAATCCCTAATAAAAATGGAATAATCCTTCTTTGATCTTCCTGAATAATCAATGCCCAGTTTTCCCATGCATATGAGGCAACTAAAAATATCATGGCTTCCTCCAATCCTGTGTTCTTCCTCATATAGTCCAGCTTCTCAGATTATTTGCTCAGCATACAGATTGAGTAAGTATGATGAAATGATACAACCCTGTTGCATACCCTTCCTGATTTTCAACCACAGCGTCCCCTTGTTCTGTTCAAATGACTGCCTCTTGGTCTATATATAGGTTCCACATGAGCACAAGTAAGTGTCCTGGAATTCATAAACTTCAAAATATTATCTATAATTTGTCATGATCCACATAGTCGAATGCCTTTACATAGTGAATAAAATACAGGTAAACATCTTTCTGGTATTCTCTGCTTTCAGCCAACATCTAGGTGATATTAGCAAGGGTATCCCTACTTCTACATCCTCTCTGAATCCAGCTTGTGTTCCTGACAGTTTCCTGCCAATGGACTACTGAAAGTGGTTTTGAATTATCTTCAGCAAAATTTTACTTGCATGAAATATTAATGATATTGTTCAATAATTTCTGTATTCTGTTGGATCACCTTTCTTTGTAATGGGCACAAATATGGATCTCTTCAAGTTGGTTGGTCACATAATGGTCTTTCAAATTTCTTGGCATAAATGAATAAGCACTTCCAGTGCTGCATCCATTTGTTGAAACATCTCAATGGGTATCCTATCAATTCCTGGAGCCTTGTTTTTCACCAGAGCCTTCAGTGTAGTTTGGACTTCTTCCTTCAGTAGCATTGGTTCTTCATCATATACTACCTACCTCCTGAAATGTTGAATGTCAACTAATTCTTTTTGGTACAGTGATTCTGTATATTCCTCCCTTCTTCTTTTGATGCTTCCAGCACTGTTCAATATTTTACCCAAAATCCTTCAATATTGCAACTTGAGGCTTGAATTTTTTCTTCAGTTCTTTTAGCTTGACAAATGCCAAGCATGTTCTTACCTTTCTTTTTTTTTTTTTTTTTTGTTTTCTAACTCCAGATCTTTGTACATTTCATTATAATACTCTGTCTTCTCAAGCAGCCCTCTGAAATCTTTGTTCAGCTTTTTTATCCTTTCTTCCTTTCACTTTAGCTACCCTATGTTCTACAGCAAGTATCAGAGTTTCTTCTGATGACCATTTTGGTCTTTTGCTTCTGTTTTTCTATCTTTTTAATGACTTTTTGCTTTCTTTATGTATGATGTCCTTAATGTCTTCCCACAACTTGTATGGTCTTTGGTCATTAGTGTTTAACATGTCAAATCTAATCTTGAGGTGGTCTCTAAATTCAGGTGGAATATATTCAAGATTGTATTTTGGCTCTGTGGATTTGTTTTAATTTTCTTAAGTTTAAACTTGAACATGTATATGAGCAATTGATGGTCTATTTCACAGTTGGCCCATGGCCTTGTTCTGAGTGATGATATTGAGCTCCTCCATCATTTCTTTCCAGAGATGTTGTAGATTTGATTCCTGTGTGTTTCATTTGGTATGGTCCACATGTATGGTCCACCAGTGTAGCTGCCATTTATGTTGTTGAAAAGAAGTATTTGTAATGAAATTTTCACCCAAATCACAATAAAGAAATATTTGTA